GAGGCAGCAGAGAGCAGCAGAACGAGGCAGCAGAGACGAGGCAGCAGAGACGAGGAGAGGAAGGCAGCAGAGACGAGGCAGCAGAGACGAGGCAGCAGAGACGAGGCAGCAGCGAGGCAGCAGAGGACGAGCAGCAGAGACGAGGAGCAGAGACGAGCAGCAGAGACGAGCAGAGACGAGCAGAGACGAGGCAGCAGAGACGAGGCAGCAGAGACGAGGCAGCAGAGACGAGGCAGCAGAGAGAGCAGAGACCAGCAGAGACGAGGCAGCAGAGACGAGCAGCAGAGACGAGGCAGAGTCAGAGACGAGGCAGCAGACGAGCAGCCAGGCAGCAGAGACGAGGCGCAGAGACGAGCAGAGACGAGGCAGCAGGACGAGGCAGCAGAGACGAGGCAGCAGAGAGGCAGCAGAGACAGAGACGAGCAGCAGAGACGAGCAGCAGCACGAGGCAGCAGAGACGCAAGCAGAGCGAGCAGCAGAGACGAGGCAGCAGAGACGAGGCAGCAGGACGAGCAGCAGAGACGAGCAGCAGAGACGAGGCAGCAGAGACGAGGCAGCAGAGACGAGGCAGCAGAGACGAGGCAGCAGAGACGAGCCAGCAGAGACGAGGCAGCAGCAGCAGAGACGAGCAGAGACGAGGCAGCAGAGAGCAGATCCCAGCAGAGACGAGGCAGCAGAGACGAGGCAGCAGAGACGAGGCAGCAACGAGGCAGCAGAGACGATGCGAGACCAGCAGAGACGACAGCACGATAGCAGAGACGAGCCAGCAGAGACTTCTCTTCGATCTCAAAAAGTCTAAACCTCAGCCCCAGCGTGAACCCGAAATGCAACGCTCCTTGATATTCCAAAAGCGGAAATTCCTAAGATGGCGTTTCTTCCGAGATTTAAAAAAGCGAGAAAAAGGAAGGAGAAGAAAAAAAGGGAAATGGTAGAAAGTAAGAAAAAAGGAGGATAAAGAAGAAAGAGTGAATAAGGAAAAATAGAAAGTGAGTAAAAATGGAGAGAAAAAAAGAAAATGGTAGAATGAGCAAGAAAAAAAGGAGGATAAAAAAGAAAGAGTGAATAAGGAAAAATAGAAAGAGAGAAAAAGGAGAAAAAAAAAAGAAAATGGTAGAATGAGTAAGAAAAAAAGAAGGCAAAAAAAAAAAAAAAAGAAAGAGTGAATAAGGAAAAATAGAGTGAAAAAAAGGAGAAAAAAGGAAGAAAATGATAGAATGAGCAAGAAAAAAAGGAAGATAAAAAAGAAAGAGTGAATAAGGAAAAATAGAAAGTGAGAAAAAAGGAGAAAAAAGAAGAGAAAAGGATTGAATGAAGTAAAAAAAAGAAGGATAAAAAGAAAGAGTGAATAAGGAAATAGAAAGTGAGAAAAGAAAAGAAGAGAGAGAGAGAGAGAGAGAGAGAGAGAGAGAGAGAGAGAGAGAGAGAGAGAGAGAGAGAGAGAGAGAGAGAGAGAGAGAGAGAGAGAGAGAGAGAGAGAGAAAACGAAAATGATACACTGCGTAAGAAAAAAGAAGGAGAAAAAGAAAGAGTGAATAAGGAAAAATAGAAAGTGAAAAAAGGAGAAAAAAAGAAAATGATAGAATGAGTAAGAAATAAGGAAAGAGTGAATAAGGAAAAATAGAAAGAACACGAAAAAAAAGAAGGCAAAACAGGAAGGACGTAACACTCAAAAAAAAAAAAAAAAAAAAAAACAGAAAAGAAAGAAAGAAAGAAAGAAAATAAAAAGGGGGCACCGAAGGATTTCAGGATTTGCTCAAAAGTCCAATGGAATTTCTTATCATGTAGAATTCCTTTGAGTGTGATATCGAATTATTTATTTATCTGATTAATAGTTAATCATTTAGGTTATTTCATTATTTTTTTTTAGTTTATTGTGTTTGTAGACAATAGACATTGGATTTTATTAAATATCTATCACCATTATTCACATTATATTTATACACACAAACACACACAGACACACACACACACACACACACAAACACACACACACACATACACACACACACACACACACACACACACACAACACACACACACACACACACACACACACACACACACACACAACACACACACACACACACACACACACACACACACACACACACACACACACACAACACACACACACACACACCCACACACACACCCCACACACACACAAATACACGCACGTAATACGTATATACATAAATCCATATCTGAAAGTATAGCAATTCAAAAAATGCATAACTTAAAAGAACCTCATTATAGCCACCCGCCAGGTTGAAGTTAACGAAACTTTTATTTCGTATTTCCACAGAAACTTTAGTGGCATGACAGCTAGACTGGGATATGCTTTCCGCCGAGAAATCGAAAAGGTTTTACGGAATCAGCAGACATCGTTTTTATTTATTTTATTTATTTTTATTTATTTATTTATTTATTTATTTGTTTATTTATTATTTTATTTATTTATTTTTATTTTTCATTTATCTATTTATTTATATATTTTTAG